TACTGCAGATTTCCTCAGGGTGAATTAGTATTATATTATGCAAGAGTGAAAACTGGCAGATATCAGTACTGTCCTGTGTGCTTCAGTCAGGCAGAACACGGTGCAACCAAGGTATGGTGCCAGGATAATCACTGATATGCCAGAGTCCAGCCATCACCAACGTTCTTCTCCCTCTCTAGGCAATGTTATGGTGAGCACTCGCCACCTACTGTCCATTTTCTGCAACTACCCAGGTTAGGAATTCCAGTTGTCTGACAGGAAATAAGCCAGAGAATTCTTGTGGGTCCAAAGGTGGGGTAAAAGGCAGGGCACTGTAGGAATGCAACAGAGTTCCACAGAGGTGCAACCACAGAACTCAGTCCAAGATTTGATTTGTCTTCTGGGCTGCCTGACACTCTCCACAGATTATTCAAAGCAGTGGTATTGGTACCAAGCTAGGTAGCAGAGCCAGAAAATAAGCAGTTCCCTCTCCCCCTTAGCCAACCTCCCCTCACACTTCACAGAGAATAAGAAATGGAGGAAATAAAGGGAAAGAGGGGGCAATATGGGTTATAGATTGAGGTATGAAAAGCCACTTCAGTTACCTAAAAACTGATATTTAATATGCCTAAATAATAGCAATGATCTTCACATAGTGATGACATATGATTTCAAATTAACTTATTGTCATATGATTTCGTGAAATTTTATCTCTTGAGAATACCGATGGAGAGAAAAGGTAAGGATAAGGAAAATCTCTCTAACCTTATCGCTTCTGGCATAAACATTTAACATGTTCTGGAAAGGAATTACTAGAAAATACAGTACATTTCCAACAGAGAAAGAATTACACTATAAGTTGAAGATATGGCATCATTGAATGCACAGCATTAGTAATGCATGCATGATGCCTAGGTTTGAGATAAAGACATACTAATGAAATGTTACACATACAGTTTGTATACACAAACTGTATACACCTAATAATAGGATATCAAAATATATACAACAAATACTGCCACAGACATGGTTTGGGGATTGATAAGGAAAGAGAGAAATAAATAGAACAAATAAGGGCTGGGAAGATGGCTCAGTGGTAGAGCGTTTGCCTTGCATGCCTGAGGCCCTGGGTTCCATTCCTCAGCACCACATAAGCAAAATGAAAAAAGACGGAAGTGGCGCTGTGGCTAAAGTGTTAGAGCGCTAGCCTTGAGCTGAAGAGCTGAGGGACAGCGCCCAGGCCCAGAGTTCAGGCCCCACAACCGCCCCCCCCCCAAAAAAAAGAAAAAGTTAGCCCGCCATTACATCACACCTGATCAACAATAGTACATAAGGCTGAGTAAGGCTGACCCAAAATCCCTCTTAACTTCAAATCACATGACTTTTCTTCACTCATTGCCTTTGCAATAAAACAGAGGCCAGAGGATCCATGCTAGTGCAGACTCTGACATCAGGTCACAAGAAGACAGACAGGTAGAGAAATCTGAATCCCACCTTGCTTTTGTCTCATTCCTTTTCACTGTGAAAGGGCCTTACATGCCTTCTCCTGGCTCTAGCTACAGTCCTTTTCTCCCTCTCAAGGACCAGCTGCAAGAGCACACTGAAAAGGCTGTGGGTCTTTCCTCAACATGACCTCCTCAACAGGACCATTAATTGACCCCTACTAAGCATGCTGTGATTTTCAAAATCAATGACTACTTAGATAAATTTAAAGTGCCAATAAGATAGTAAAGAATTTCTAAATATAGTGATACAATACTTAGTAGTTCATGAGTTATGACAAAGCAAACCAAAATCTGTTTTTATTTAATTGACATGCTTGTGTTTGGCTTTGCCACTCATGCTTTAAGTTGACCTTGAAGTATGGGATGTCTACAATTATAATTGTTTTTAAGGTGGAGGTATAGCTCATCAGTAGAGAATCTAACTAAGGTCCTCTTAGCAAAATGAGTCCCTTTCCATAGCTTTAGTCCATTCCCTCCCTTCTCCACAGCTTAACATGCTCCCTTCCTAAGCAACGCTAGGCCCACATAGTAAAGGCAGTACATAATCAACTTCCAACCCCCTTTACCTTGGGATGGCACTTCTCTGGGACCGATACCACCATATAAGGCAACAAGAACCCTTAGGGTGAACTTCAGGTTTGGGCAGTTGCAGGACCCTTATCTACTAGGTGGATAGGAGGCATAAATCCTAGTCTGACATGATGAAGTCCGTGGCCCACATGTGGACACCAGGGTCTCCACCTCCTAGCACCTTCTAGCACCTCCTACACCTCCTAGGTTATATAGGTCACCCCAAAAAATAACCGGTGCTTCTTCTCATTCCTCCCTTGGGAGAAGGAGTCTTGCAGGCACTCTTTCCCCACCAATAAACCTTTCTTTGTTCTCTGTACCTTGCTGTCTGCATGGTTATCTGGCAAAGTATACTTAATATTAATTTTGCCATCAGTTCCTTTCCAAACACTGGAAAACCAAAAAACCCGACATCTATTTCTATATATGTGTACATATATATGAAGGCATGAAAAGGCCAACAAGTGTATTATCAGTCATTACTTCATTTACAAAGAAATGAAAGCACAGCACAAATACATCCACGAATCTCTCCTTTAAAAACAGCTTTGATGTTCTACACAATCCATGCAGATTTATGAAAAATACATATTTTAACATGTACCCTTTCATGTTCCTGTCCAAAAACGAATCTATTTGTCAGCGTGAAGAATGACAACATGTACTATCTGACCGGGCACTAGGCAACCTAATTTTTATTTCCTATATATCCCAAACTTAAATCTACCAGGAAGTTATATTGCACCACCACCACCACCACCACAAAAGCTTAGATTTTCTCTGAAACACAGAATCACATTAAAAATTACCTTACAATTTTTCCAAACTTCAGTAGGTGGTATAAATGCTGCATGAATAACAAGCTGGCTATACATAAACTGAGGCCCCGGTGGGGCTTTTGTGTATTTCCTTCAACACTGGTTCCTGAAGCCCAGGGATTCCATTCAATGGTAATGCTCGCGGGTTCTGGTCTCCATGGTGATTGGGCCCTGCATTCCCTCACATTTGGGTCTGCATTCCCGGTGAGCCAATCTGTGCGACCAAGCCACATCTACTGACGCAAGGAGAAGCCGATTCGCTGAAAAGCCTGGGATCCCGCAGGTTGCGTGGACCTGTAGTGAATAAAGCCTCACGCCATCGTGCTCTCGCTTGCACACTGGCGGCACCGGGGTGCGGAGCCCGGCCTGGTGCTTGCGGGGAAGGGTGGCCTCTGGGCTCGGGGTAGCGGGGTCGTGAACTTGGCTGGCTCATGTCTGGGCACGGATCCTGGTCTAAACTTGTGGTAGAGAATCAGAAGCGCTGAGCAGCAGGCACAACTCTGGCCAAGGCCTTGGTGGCACCGTCCCAGGAGCTGGATCCGGTGAGTCCACCACGCCATGCCTTATGGAAACACCTGGTGGGAGGTGGCGGATCCTCCACTGCCTGGTAAGCCCCACTGCACATGCGCAGCCCTGCTCCCCCTCCACCCCCCCCAACCCCCCCTCCCCCTGCCCCGGCGGAGGTCAGGGTCCGGATTCGGTCCCCTAGTCATGGTTGTCAGTGGCCGGTGCGGGGTGTGGTCGACAGGACCCGCAGGGGGAGCTGCTGGGCAGAGAACTGGGTCCTTCCGGGGCTCTGTGTGGACCAGCTCCGGGGGCGTTCGTGGGTCATGGGAACCAGGGTTCGGACCACAGCACCTAGCAGCAGAGCGGGACAGCGAACAGTATCAGGAGATGGAATGGCCCCCAAGTGTGCTGGGCACCCACACATCGTCAAGCCGCCTTCCTTGAGGGAAAGGCAGGGAAAGGCAGAGCGGCTTGGGGACAATCTTTCAAGAAATAACCGATTCGGTATCTCGTTAACTGTCATGGGAAAAGCTGCATAGATGAAATCGGAGGCAGGGGCTGGGCCACCGCACCCGCACCAGACCGCGGTGCACGCAGCTTCTACGTCCCTCCTGGCCACCTCCTTCCGCTGCACCCTCCTCCTCTCCTTTGCCCTTTTATTAAGGGATGATGAGGATGACTCTTAGTGGAGAAGGACTGTCCTGAGAGCAGCCCAGGTCTCCAGGGCCAGGCCATTCCACGGGCTGGAGCTGAAACTACTGTGGTGCTCAGAGCCTGGGTGCAGTGAAGGCTGTTTCCCGCCAGAGGGCGCGCTCAGCGCGTGGGCATCATGGGACCCAGGGTGTAGTGAGCGCTGCTTCCCGCTAGAGGGTCCTCTGGGAGCGTGCACATGCTAGGTTGTTCTGTCAGACTCCCTTCTCAGATAATGATTAGGAGAGTCACAATTAGGTTTGCTTCAAATAAAACCTAAAAGGTAATAAGTTCCATGCATGTATTATAATGAAAGGACTTGAAAAACAATTAGTATTGACCTGTTTTCTGTATGTTAAAGGCTGCTTGGATAGGTGAGGTGAACTAATGTAGGAGAAGTCAGGGTGATAGGGTTAGAATGGGGTACAGAGAAAAATGAAAAGTAGTGAAAGTAATTTTCATGATTGCGAGTACATATGAACAGACATTCCATGCTAATAAGTAGGTGATGAATGGTTGAATTAATTCAGATCATTCATGTGACTTTAGGAATATCAAGGTATAGAGATGAATATGGTTCTGGGGGTAATAATTTTCAGCATTATCAGAGATTAAGGCTTTGCAGGTAATGAGTGTAGTTATTTTACACTGCAAGAATAATACCAAACCCACAACAGCTTCACAGGCTATCAATGTGAGAATATTATTAGGCAATGTAAAACACGGAGTAAAATGTGTGTTCAAGATTATTACAGCGAGCCAGGAGCTGGTGGCTCATGCCTGTAATACAAGCTACTCAGGAGACTGAGATCTGAGGATCGTTGTTCAAACCAGCCCTGGCAGGAAAGTCAGTGAGACTCTTGATCTCCAATAAACCACTAGAAAACCGGAAGTGGTGCTGTGGCTCAAGCGGTAGAGTGCTCACCTTGAGCTGAAGAGCACAAGGACAGTGCCTAAGCACAGAGTTCAAGCCCCAGGACCAAAAAAAAAATTTTTTTTAAAGTACGCTATCATAAATAATGATGATATTATACTGTCAAAGCAGAGAGGAAGAATGTGAGACCGGAAACATCAGAGCTCAGCATGCAGAGTAGCTACCATTACAGGCATGAAACACCAATGCCCAGCTTAATAAGGAATTTGTTATTATAGAAATACTTAAGTAATTGTACAAAAAATTTCAATTCAACATATCAGTTTGTGAGTGCAATGTGTCATTACATTTACAAATAGTATTTTATGAAGTTGATGTACAAAGGGTTTTCATGTCCATACTTTAGATCATGAGTGCAATGCCTGTGATAGATGTCACCCTTTTTATCATTCTTGTCATCCCTTCCCCAGCCCCCATCACCTGTTTGTCTAGTTCCATTTTCACACATTTACATTGACTATCATGGCTGCATTCATCTACCTTTCCTTTCTTCACTGGTCTACCCCACTTTCCTTGACATTATCCTTCCACCCTTGTCATGCCATTCAGGTGTTCAAAGGAGTTACACCATTGGAATCCTTCCTGAATATACTATACTATAGTTCATGCTTTTGTGCGGGGTCCTGTTTTCCTTAGAAACAGCTATTATTCCAAGATCCATGACTTAGTGTGGGGTCAGGGTCAACATTTCACTAGTATGTTTCCCTAGGTGGTCAGATTTCTACCCAAGATAGAAGTCCTGTGGGTTTTGTTGTTGTTGTTCTTGTTTCCCCAAATCCTTGCATTTTCTTTTTATTTATTTCTTGCTCTTTCTTTTTCTTTTTCTTTTGTCAGTCATGGAAAAACACTCTGGGCCTGGACCCTGTCCCTGAGAATTTCAGTTCAAGGTTACCGCTGTACCACTTGAACCACACTGCCATTTCCAGTTTTCTGAGTGGTTTATTGGAGACAAAAGTCTCACGGACTTTCCTGCAGGGGCTGGCTTTGAAGCATGATCCTCAGATTGCAACATCCTGAGTAGTTAGGATTACAGGCAGGAGCCACCGATGACCAGCTCTTTGTGTGTGTGTGTGTGTGTGTGTGTGTGTGTGTGTGTGTGTGTGTGTGTGTGTGTGTGTGTGTGTATGTGTATGTTTGTGTGCCCCAGTCCTGAGAATTGAATACTGACACTTGAATTCAGGGCCTGTGTTGTCTCTGAGCTTCTTTTTTTTTGCACTCTGCCACTGGAGCCACAGCTCCACTTCTGGATTTTTTTGGGCAAGTTACTGGAGATGAGTATCACAGATTTCCTGCCTAGGCTGTCTTTCACCCTTATTCTTCACATCTCAGCATCTCAAACACAAAGATGGAACTTTAATAATAGCAAGCTATCATGTGACAGATACCAATATATTAGGTTTGCTAGACAGACTACTGAGTTCTCAATATCTCTAATGTGAGTTCAGACCTCCAAAACAGCAAGCAATAAACCATCATGACTGTCTCTGGGAATATACAATTTTTAAAAATATTCGATTACCAGCTGGGTGCCAGTTACTCACATCTGTAATCATCGATACTCATGAAGCTGAGATCTGAGGATTGCAGTTTTAAGCCAACCTGGGTAGGAGTCACTTATCTACAATAAGCTACTCAGAAAAAACTGTGTAGTGGCTCAAGTGCTTCAATGTGGCTCAAGTGGTAGAGTGCTACCCTTGAGCACAAACAGGCTCAGGGACAGTGCCTAGGCTCAGAATTCAAGACTTGGGACTGGAAAAACATTCTTCCCAGAGCCCCCACAAATAACAAATAGCTTCCTTTTAACGAAGGCTTACATTAACTATATTTATTCTCTGTACAATAGCAAATGCCACCTTATATTCATAAATCAAGAGTTGCTTCAAAAATTCTATTTTGTAAAAATAGAAAAATGACAAATTCATAAATCAAAAGTGGCTTACGTTAAATAAAGAAGTTTCCAGTTAAAGGAAGAACAGTCCTGGAGCTCAGAATTCAGGGCTCAGCAGGAGACTTGCTCCCACAGACCTAGGACTCACCTGACCTGTGGCTTCTCATATCCAGGAAGTCCAGAAAGATGTTGTAAATGATCATGAGGTTCATTAGGAATATTACCAGGTAGGGAATAGTGCACTTGATTAAAGTCAGTAGAATTGGATGGGGTGATAAGCCGGGCTCAGGGCTCCTTCCCTGACCTGAGAGTCACCTCGGTGTGGTGTGAATGACATAAATGGTCAAATGTAAGCTGTCTCTAGTAAATCAGAAATCTTGATAAAAATCATTTATCAGAAGTGCAGGTAAGGGAACTAGGATATTTTTCTATCAGTGCAGGACAGAAGCAATGGTGTTTTTTAAACATTTATTATTATTATTGTTATTGTTATCTTTAGGTGGTTGTACAAAGAAGTTTCCATTCTACAAGACAGTATATAAATACAAGTTGTCTGACAACATTGTCACTCATCCCTCCTAGCAATGGTGTTTTGAACAAGAAAAAATAATGAGTCAGCAGTGGTAGAATGCTTGCCTTGCAGGCATGAGCCATGAGTGGGGAGGTGCTGGTAGGAGGCAGATAGTGCTGGGATTGGAACCAGAGTGAGGAGGGGCAGCTGCTAATCATGGCAAATCTGGGAACAGGAAGCCAGCGGGGCAACCTAAGGACATTCACCCACCAGGGCCCATGAGAGGGCCACATCCAAGGCACTTGCAATCAGGCAGGAGGGACCAGGACACTGCAGTCCTGGAGAGAGCCAGTATGGACTCCCACTAGTGTGTCCTGTCCCTACTGACTGTCCAACAATGCAGCCTCACTTTATTCAGAAGGAACTGGGGAACTAGCTCAGGCCCTGATGCCCTGCCAGTCCCCAGTGCCTTCTCAGGCCACCTCCCTTCTCAATCCTTTCCCCTCCCCCCCTCCCCAACCCACACCTGAATGGAAAACAGAAAAAGATATTTTCAAGTCTTGTTTGTTATAAGATTCTTGAACATAAAATAAAGAACACTTGCAATAATATAAAGGGTTAGCACAATTAAAAAATGATCAGTGCTGAACACCAAGAGCGCTGAGCTCAGACCTGCTGATGGCTGTTGTACACCTGCCTGAACAGACTAACCACCACTCAATATTGCACATTAAATTACAATGATTTATGGGGATTTTCATCTCCATTGTGTCAAAGAAGTTCCTCAGCAATGTGTCATCCCATGATGGATCATGCTATCATCTTATTTAGTGAGCATGCTGAGAGCTGGAGAATAACACTTCAAAAGCAGGCTTGGCAGAAAAGTCTAGGAGATTCCAACTGCAAAACAACCAGCTAAAGGCCAAGCCAAAGGCATTTTTCAGGAGTTAGAATACCTCATGCTCTGCTATTGTAACTATGCAATCAAAGGTGTGCACATGTGCATCCTGCCTGGGAACACTGCAGTTTCTAGCTTCTGGGCAGCAGGACAGGGAGTTCATCTCTTCTTTATTATTTGGTAGAATCTGGCATTTTGTATAATTCCCTATATTCTCTATGTTTTATTTACTGATCATAGTGATGAAACTCGGGGCTGGGCACTGTCCCTGAGCAATTTGGTTCAAGGATAGTGCTCTGCCACTTGAGTCATAACATCACTTTCTGCATTTTGGTGATTAATTGGAGGTGACAGCCTCATGAACTTTCCTGGGCTGACTTTGAACCATGGTGCTCAGATCTCAGCAGCTAGCATTACAGAACCATGGGCACAAAACTTTTGTTAGAGGTTAGTCCTTAGTGTCTTAGTCAAGATTTTAGCTGAGATGGAGTCAGAGGAGAAGTAGCAAATTCATCCTGACTGTCTGCTTTCAGAAAAACAACTTATTGCATTTAATTTTTCTATAAACTCTGCTCTGTTTCTAAGGAAACTGAAAACTTCTTATTTTTTACTTAATAAGCTGTGTCCCTGAGCTCTTTTTGTTGAGGAGTAGCATTATGCCATTGGATCCATAGCTCCACTACTGGAGCTATTTTGGAAATTAAAAAATAAATAAAACTCGGTGGGGAAGGTGGCTCAGTGGTAAGTGCTTGACTTGCATGCATGAAGCCCTAGATTCGATTCCTCAGCACAAACCACATAAGCAGAAAAAGCTGAAAGTGGCACTCATCATTTGATATGGATTAGTTGGTGTCTCACAAAGTTTTTGCCCAGGATGGCTTCAAACCACACATCTACTTCCTAGGTTTACAGGTGTGACCCACTATGCCATGGTTGTGGTTACTATCAATTGTCAATTAGAAAAGGCTAAGAAATGCATTAGAGGTTACTAATGAACAACTCTTGGTGTATAATAGAGGCTATTTCATGAGAGCAATTATGTGCACTTTGCACATAATGTTAACTTGTAACACCCTGGAAAAAGCATTTGTAGACAAACATTTAAAAATACATGTAGGTGGTACCTTGTAGGACCCAGATTTAAGCAAGATGACAGGCTCCATGGAATGAAAATCAGTGTGCCTAGAAGTGGACTTTAAAAGCAGTTTCCTTTGAAATATCTTTTCTCTTCCTGCTTGATAAGCATCCTGATACACTATTACAGCAGCAGAAGTGGATAAGAGCAGAGAGCACTACCTTGAAACATTTTCTTCCAATCTAAAGTGGACCTTCCTCTGACATATGATGACAGGACAATGGTAGGCTTCCACACTTATGTGGTCACTCAATAGGAATACACTAAAGCCATCCCTCAATCTGATCCTATGCTTAGTAATGAAGAAACATGCGATGACCATCTTGCACTCTATTCACCATTTGAGAAAATGAAATTTGGTGCATTTACTAATAGAGTGTGTAGTATAATAAAGTTTTTTAAACTGCAACAAATAAAAAATAAATTTATAAATTAAACTGAACAAAAAACACCCTAGAAAGTAGTGGTTTTAAGAAGAATTTGAGAGCTTGGCAGCAGTGGCACATGCTGGGAGCTGAATCAAAGCCTACCAAGGCAGAAAAGTGTTGTCCCCATCTCCAAGAAAAAAAAAGCAGAG